GCCACAAACAGGCCGAGGCCTCCTGCAGCTAACAGCAAAGCTGCCGAGCCAATCTGGCCCAGGCGCTCTGAATTAGTCACCGGTTTTGACAAGGAGTGAAGAGGGTTACATAACCGCCTCCCTCGCTCTCCATTGGCTCTCCTGAGCTGGGCTCTCCAGGTGAAGGGTCTGGGAGCCCCCAGGGCTAAGGTGTCCACACAAGCCCTTCCCAGGCCTGCGCCAGCCCTGCAGGGCCAGAAGGAGGCGCCAGCCGTTCACCTCCTGTCTGAGTCCCTGCTACCTGGCCTCCCAAACAATCCCATGCTGGTCTTGTAACCCAGGACGCTAGTTCTTAGTAGGGAACATGCCCCAGACAAGGAATTCATGTTTCTCAGCTCATGGCACCTCCACAGCACTCCCAACCCACTTTCCCTACTGAATTTATTATATGGCACCACCATAATAATTATCAGTAAGCATATAGTAAGCACCTTTGTGAGACCCTGTTCAAGGCATTGTCGAGGCTACAAAGATGAGTAAGACACAGAAGTGCAGCAGCAGAAGGGGCTTGGGATTCTAAGCCCTTTCCTCCGAAGAGCAGAGCACTCTCTCCCGGAGGAACGCTAAGCCATGGGCCACTAACCGCTGGGGGTCAGACTCAATCCCTCTGTGAGGATTGGAGTCACCAGCCTTGACCTGAGACGTACCGAGTACAGTGCAGGCTTCTTATAACCAGATTTTCTTGCTTATTTATTCATTCCCCTGCACATGACCGAATTACAAAAAAATAAATATTTCACAATATTAACAATGGGGGATGGCAATGATGATGATGATGACAATGATGAAAATAATGTGAGAGGCGAGTATACATGTCCCGTTTTGGCCTCAAGCCCTTGGGACTTGAATCCTTCCTTCCTTCCCACTGGCACTTCTGTTACACTCGCTGGATAATAGAAAACAGGAGTCGGAGCTTGAGAAGTTTAAGACTCATTCACACAGACCTTCTGGCTCCAAGCAGGACTCGACTCTCTCATCCAGGAAGAGTCACTACTGCCGCGAGGGGTGGGAAAAAGAGTCAGTGAGTGGGAAGGGGCCCCCTCTGGCCTCTCCTCCCTTTCCCAAGCCTAAGTTAAGGGAAAGTCCCCAGCCCAGACTCTCAGGGGACAGTGAAAACATCAAGGGCCATATTTCCTACTCATCAGCCTACCAGGTTTATGACTATTAACACTGGAAGAGATCTCAGAGGTCATCTAGTCCAGCTTTCCCATTGTACAGGTGAGAAAACTGAGGCCAGAGAGTAGAAATGACTCACCCATGGCCACAGCAGATCTGAGACTCAAACTCCCATCTCCTTTCATTACAATGTGAAAACCAGCCGGAGAGAGGTGATGGCAGCGGGGGTTAAGGGGTGGGGATAGATGTGGGGGAACCATCGGCCCTCCCTACTTACAGAGCTCCATGTGATCCATAATTCCTGCCTCTCTGGCTCAACACCAGGAAGGTAACAGCTTTGCACAGAAGAAGGGGCAACTGCCCCAACGGCACATGCAAATGGTCATGATGCCAAGTCCCTGCATACAGTTTCTAGAACAATGAGCCCTTCCTCTCTGCTCAGCTTCCTAGGAAAGAGCTAACAAGGGAAGCAAGCAAATTCCTGATAAAAGGCCACCCAGCTTCTACCTCCCAAATATCTCTCCGGTGTCTTCTTGGGACAAACTCTCACAGCAAGACTTAAAGCCAATTAGAGACAATTACAGGATTAATAGGAAACCTGGGGTCAGTCAGTTTGGGACACAAAATCATTTCCTCATTCAGTAAACATCTACAGCATCTCCCGTGTGGGGGCTCAGTTTTGAAGGAGATAGAGTCTCTGATGTTAGTACACCTGCAGTCCAGAAGGTAAGAAGCCTTGGGGGCACCGAGAAGGGAAGACCATCCATTTACTGGGGAGAGGTGGGGTTGGCAGCTTTACTGGGAGAGGTGGTAGGACACACGGGACCCTGGGCACTCTGGCGCCATGAAAAGCCAGAGCCCATCCTGAGCAGATGCAACCTGATCTGTTTGCTTCCATTTTCCACTTTGCCCTTTGTCCCTGCTCTCCTCCCAAGCTCAGCAACCCCTAGCTCCAGCCTCTATCTTCAGACTTTCCTTTTCCATCATTTTCCCTATTTGGGACCCAAACCCAGTCCACACCCCCTCAGTGAGCTGGTAGACTGAGTGTAGAGGTTGTGGGGAGGGGCCCCACCAGACTCACCCAGACAGATGTGCTCTGTTCCCTGCACAGCTGTCCCGGCAACCCATCTGTACTCACTTCCTGCCTCCCAGCTCCAGCCCCTCACACCTCTACTCAGGGGCGGGGAAGCCTGGTCCAAAAGCCATTGTTGAGGCTGCTGGCAGCACAGCAAAGCCTGGAGGCCACGACCCTGGCTCCCGCCCTCCACAGGAATGGGGGCCGGGGCAGGACTGCAGCAAGGTGGTCACTCTGGAGGGCTCTGCCTCGGAGGCCAACCTCAGCCCCTAGGCAGCTGTGGGAACTGCCCAGCTCTCGAGTTCTCCCAGCACCATTTGTCCATGTGCAGTACACCAGCAGTACTGCAGGTGCGGTGCCGTTATTGTGTCAAGACTTAAGAAGTTTGCTTTGCGCTTAGCTAGATGTTCTCCAAGGGAAGAAAAGACTGTTTTAAAAAAGAGTTTGATGCAAAAAAAGATGCCCCTGCTAGGAGTCTGTCCTCATGCTCAGGAATCGTTGACTCCTTGTCAAAATCCATAGTGGCTCCCCCAGTTTCCATGCTGGGAGGTGGTGGGAATGGGAAGTCGCCTGAGGAGGTGACTGCTCTGGAAAGCTGCTTGTTTCCGGGGTGCTCACAGCTCCCTCCTGGCTCCTCAGCAGGAGTGTGGGGATGGTGCGGGCAGCTCTGCGGCTCCCAGGGGCCGAACACTCAACCCAGAGCCTTCTCTTCAATCCTGTGTCCTAATGCGCTGAAAGTGAGGCAGAATAATGATAAATTGTCCCTTTTCCTGGAAACAGAAATGTCTTAGGAGTATGCACAAAGGCCAGAATCCTACATCTCCTGAACAGTGGGATTGCGGGGTGGGAACTGGCTTCTCCAGGCAGAAATGAGCCCCCAGGACAAGGGCTGGTGCCCAGAACAAGAGCTCACCCAACTGTCCAGGCGCAAGAGGGGCCTGCCTTCCTTGGCCGTCGTCTTAGATGAGGGAAATCCCAGTTCCCGTGCTCTCCCCCACACCACAGACACGCAGCCTTGGATAGGACTTTAGGTGAGGGCAGGGCTGGTCTTTGTGCCGGGCGGCTGGCGCTGATTCGGGTGTTTTTAAATTGCTCTCTTAAGATGAGCTTCCTCAGGGTGACCAGACAACCACAGACTTGGGTGACTTTGTTTTCAAAATGTTTTGGTAAGTATCTAAGGCAGAAAATTTCTCTCACAGAGATATAAATGGTCACCATTTTTCCACTTTGCTAATCTGGCCACCGTAACTGTGACGGAGTCCCTGAGATTCAGGTCCTAACCTGACAACTCTGATCACCCGATAAGCCTGAGCCTAATATAACAGAGAGAGAAGGTGGGTGAGTCGACGGCTGATGACGAGAGGATGGATGCCAGCCGGGCAGGCGGGCTGAGAAGCCAGCCGCAGGCAGAGCCCCATCCTTGCGCGGGGCCTTTGAGGCAGGCTGCTGGGCCAAAGGAGGTGCTCCTTTGTTTTAAGAATGCTCAGTTTAGGCTCGAAACATACCTGTGATGTCAACCCTAAGCTTTCCTTAAATGCAAATATGTAGACAGAGAGGAGGGGGCCTCCGCCTCCAAGGCAAGGCTCCTTTCCACCAGCCCACCAACGATGGGGGTTTCTCTCTCTCTTCCTACTACCGATTTAAGAGAAAGGGGAAATCCATACTCACACATTCGCCTAGATTCTTCCACTAGTTCATCATGACAGGGAAGCCCTAGGCCTAGGATCGAAGAGATGTTTCTGAGGACCACACGCAAGGTACCCAAGGCAACTGGGGCTCAGAGGGAAGGGACAGGGCTTCATACTGAACACCCGCAAGGCCCACAGTTGTCTCTGGGAACCCCAGCGGCCCCCAGGTCTCACAAGGGCATAACAAGGCTTCTGAGTGGACCCCAGCCTTTGCTCTCTTAATCTTGGGTCCTTAATTCGGGGTGGCCATCCTGGCCCGCCCCAACCCTACCTGGAAGCAGGGGCTTGACCTTGGAACCCCTGCAGCACAGATCTCCTGGGACAGATTTCACAACCCAGCGCTGAGTTTTACTACAAGTTTCAGACAAAGAAGGTGTGTCGGAGCCGAAAGCATGCTTCTGCCCGCTGTGTGGGCGTCGAGTTCAATACCTTCTTGTCAACACTTGAATGTGTTGAACATCACTCACAAGGGCATTCTTTAAGAAACCTATTAACTTAATTACCCAGGCATTTTTTTCTCTCTCTCCCCCCCCCCCCCTGTCCATGCATCTCATATAAAAGTTGGCTTTCTTCCTTTCTGAGATACTTTTGATGTAACTCCTCTCCCCTGGCACAACACCATCTTGTTTACTTCTCTACAGTTAGTCGGGGTGGCTGCTCTGTGCAGACTGACTCCTTGGCTTAGGTCTTAGCACTGAAGGAAGTCCTGAGAGAGCAAAGTGGGACCCTCGGGATGGGGGAACGGGGCATCTGGCATCCTCCTTTCCAACTGCCCAGCAAGAGTGGAAATGTGGAGGATGACAGCAGGGAAGGAACAAGCCAAGGTCTACCAGGGTAAGCCCCTCCTTCCTACAGAAGGTGAGAGAGGAGTCACCAGAGATTCAGGTCAATCAACAGTCGTTTATTAAATACCAGCCATGTGCCCAGAACCATCCACCTGGATTTTGGAAGAAGAGAAACTTCCAAATTCCAGCTCCTTTGCACATTCAAGATCCTGGGGAAAAAGAAGAGTTAATTTGTTATAAATTATCTCACACTGGGAATCAGTAAAATGAGGTTCTAGACCCTATAAGTCAGGGTAGGGAAACTTTTTTCTACCAAGGGCCATTTTGGGTACTTATAATATCATTTGTGGGCCATGCCGAATTATCAACTTAAAAATTAGCCTGCTGTACTTGGTCAAACATTTAATCAACTCACCCTAATGCCTTGGCAGGGCAGACCACATGACTGCGTGGGCCTTATACGGCCCTCCAGCTGGATGTCCCCCACCCCTGCCAAAGTGGTCCTGTGGTGCCGGGGCCCTGCATTGTTTGTTCAGTAAAATGCAGAGGGGGGACCTTGCTAAGGGATTCCCATACCCGCTTCAGATCTCTGCATCCATGGCTCACCTGGACTTCCACAGCTGTCTGCAGCTGCCCACTTCTATAGGGAATCTGATCAAGGAAGGGGAGGCATGGCAATGTTCAGACCAAGAGGCAAATGGGGATCATCTTGGAGAGGCATAGGCTGCATTTGGTGTCCATGTCCTGGATAGTGACTCCCCTGTCCAGGGAGAGAGGATACAGAAAGAGGCGGGGGCTGGGGAAGGTATGCTTCCACCTCTAGCAGGGTAGGGAGAGATTCCAGGGAGATAGTTGTGCTCCTACGACTGAGCTCTGACGTTACATAGAGGGGGCCTCTTGTCCACAGATTTAAGCAAAAAGAGCTACACAGAGGCCCCCAGAGATGCGTGGGGGAGGTACCAACCAGCCAGACCTCAGGCTCTCTCTCCTTCACTGTACTGTGGGAAATCTGGCGGCAGCTATAACGATGGAGGAACACACCCCATGGCTTTCTTGCCAAGACCATGCGTAACTGAAGAGCAACTTGCAGACCTTTCCAACTATCCCCACTCTCATACCTACTTCCAGGGAAGTGAAAACACGGGAGCAATTTCAGAAAATCCAGCAGAGCTCTGTGGGGTACCATCTTCTACCCACCCAACCATAGGCCTCCCAAACTCTCAATGGACCAATGTAGGTCCACAGAACCAGGAGACAGTGATGTGGTGAGTCCTCTGCATGGAATGACAGAGAAGGGACCCAACAGGTCCTCTGGTCCAGCTCCCTGCCTCCAGGCTGGTCTGCTTCTAAATCACTCACTTGTGGAGGCCTCTCTGTTGTCCTGAGCACACAGTGATGGCAGAGAAAGACCTAGTGTGCAGTCAGAGCCCCATAGCTTCCAGGTAGGGCTCTTTTTTCCTGGGAAACTCTTGCTTGTGGGGAACCCCAAGAATACCTGAAGTTGTTTCCACCCACCTGTCTGACTCAGGGCTGACTAAAGCCTGGTGACCTCTGATACACACACACACACACACACACACACACACACACACACACACCCATTCCTCACTCATCCCAGAGACCACCTCTATCTGCGTGCAGTGTAGTGCAGAGGAATGTTAGGAAGGGGCAGAACTGCTGGAGGACTGGGATTTGACCCTAAGCACCTTAAAGTTGGGAAATTAGGATCACAAGCCCTCAGTGCCCTCTCCCCCAAGGCATCTCGCATGCCGCATGCAGTTTCGCTCTGATGCAACTCTCCGCCAGGCGGGTTCTATAACCTGAGATCCCTGGAGGCTTGGGCACCTTCCGGGGCAGACAAAAAGGCAGCCTCTTCTCTCTGTTGGCCATGTCCCTCCACCTCAGCCACAGGCATGGAGCCTCCATCCTCTCTTGGGGACTCTCCCCCTTCTTCCTGATGTTGGGGGGAATCTGCAGCAGAGGCTTGGACAGGGGCAAAGCAGCAAAGGTTAATTTATCTCCCTTTCCCACACAGTGTAGTGTGTGCAGTGTGTCCAAGTTGTCCAAGTTGACTAAGAGGCGAAGCATTGCATAAGCCAAGGTCCTGGTCCTGGCGAAGCCCCTCCTCCTGCCTCCACCCAAGCTGGAACAGACATCCCTCCAGTGCCAGGGCCCACAGCTCAGCGGGGAGCAGGCACATGCGCGCTCACACACTTACACATTCCCTAAGAAAGCCCCCGGGGCCTCTGTGGGAAGGCTTTCCGGGATACTTTTATGGCAAAAGAGGAAGTCTGGGGCATCACTGGAACAGCCCCGAGCCAGGGAGCAGGCAAACACTGCCAACAGTGGAGTCAGGCTGCACCCTCCCCTAATGACAGAGCCTTTAACCCTTTTCTTCACCCAGGATGCTGTTAGGCTCGATAATCAGGATCCCCTGGGATCTCAGTGCTGTCCCTCATAGCCCCCTTCCCAGACGTGCAGACCTATCTATGCATACACACACACACACGCACGCATACATACACACACACACACACACACACACTGCCTGTCCTGCTGCTCAAACTGACTCACCAGATCTGATCAGAGCAGGCTGTGACCCAAAGAAGCATGTAACTTAGAGCTGAAAGGAAGCCTGGAAGCTTGCAAGAAATTATCCTCATTATTTTACATAAGAGGCCACTGAGTCTCACAGATCCAGTGGCAGGGTCACCTAGCTCTAAGGCCTCTAGGGTCTCTCACAAGTTGCAGATCAGGATACTGAGTAGAAAAGCATTTGGGGGAGGGGTCAGGGCCTAGACAGAGGTCGGTGTGCCTCCAGGGATCACTTAGAGCTCTGATGTCCAGTTCAGTGGCCACTAGTCTACTAAAATGAAAATTAATTAAAATGTAATGAAATGTTTAAAAATGCAGTTCCTTGGTAGCATTAGCTACACTGAAGTGCTCAACAGTAGCCACCTGTGGCCAGCAGTACTGTATGGGACAGTCAGAGCTAGAACATTCCCTCCATCACAGAATGTAATGGACGGTGCTGATCAGGAGCTGTTTCCTGATAGAAGGCTGGGGTACCCTGTGAAGGAGGGAGAGGAGGAGAGGGGTGCAGAGAAAGAGTCTGGAGAGAGGAGAGGGCAGAGGAGGAGGCTGGAATAAGACAGGAGGGGAAGGAGAAATCTGGTGGCTTTCTCCTGTGGCAGAGATCTAACCAACTGTCCCTAGTCCCGGGGGGCCTGACACTGCCCCCCAACCCTACTCCAGAAGGGCCAGAAAACAGAATCACAGACCGGCAGCCAGGGCCTGCAGATACACATCTGGTCATTTCCAGACTTATCAGCCCTGTGCCCAGGGCTCTACATCACGCAGGATGGCTCCACAGCTGAGCACCTGGATTCACAGAGAGGTGGTCCTGCTGGCCCTGCTCCTTCCAACGGAGGGCACAGCAAGCAGGGATGACCCTGCGGCCCTTTCACAGGTCACTGCAGCAAAAAAAATGTTTCTTGGACAAAAGGAAGGAAAGGAAGGAAGGAAGGAGGGAGGGAGGGAGGGAGGGAAGGAGGGAGAGAAGGAAGGAAGGAAGGAAGGAAGAGGGAGGAACAGTAAAAGGAAGGAAGGAAGGGGAATGTAGTGAAATGAGACTGCTTCTCCTGCCACAAGTTGGGTGCATTTTTCAAGCCAGAGGACAACACCTTGATGCGATTCCACAGACAAGGAGTCCATTTTGTCACTTTCTCCCACATTCTTCTAAGCAAACATTTGAGCGACAGCACTGAGCTGAGTGAAGAGAATTCTGTCTGAAATCACAACACCTGGGTTCACTTCCAGTTCCGCTACCTAATGACTGGGACAAGTCGCTGCTCCCCCAGCCTCAGTTTCCTGCCTTGCCGGGCCATTGGGATGACCAAGGGCAGTAGTGGATGTGGATCCCATGGACAAGGCAGTGTGTGTCAGACCCTCCCCTCTCCCCAGGCACTTACTGCGAGCAGGTGATGGAGACCTATGGGGACAGGACGCCCTGGAGGAGCTCAGGGCCAGAGGAGAGAAGAGCAGCAGCTGCAGTTCTGGCTCAAATGGGGTTCGCACCACCATAGAGTCAAGCCAGAGTGTGAAGGAGGCAGCAGTGGGAGAAGGGCTATCGAGGAAGGCGGCATAGCAGAAGAGAAGTGTGAACCAGACAGGAAAATAAGGAATCACAGCGTACTCCCCTCTCAGACCTCCCCGTGGTCTCACTCAGAGTCCTCTAAGTCCGAAGGGTGCTGGAGAACGTGGCCTGTCCCTGTGTCCTGCCCCCAGGCCTGGGCATGACCCAGGAGAGACTCAGGAAGATCGAGACGGGTCTTTTAGCCCAATTTGAGCACATCAGGGGACACCTGGGCAATTCCAGCAAAGAGGAGAGAAACCACCTCTTCTCCTCAGAATGGGTTTCCCTAACACAGCCCCTTCTGTTATGCGGTGTAGGCCAAAGAACTCTGCACTGTGGGCCGGGGGCGTAGGTCACGGGCCAGCACACCTGGACCCCATTCCCAGACCTGCCTCCGATTGGGACTATAATCTCAAGCAAGTCACTTCACCTCTTCAGGGCTGTGACCTCACCTGCAAATTGGGGGTGATCACCTCTGACCTTTCTGCCTCCTTGTGAAGGAGGATTAGATGATACAGTGGTGTAAAGTGCCCCACATGCTCTAGGACGGTGATTGTAACTCTCTAACACCCATCACCACCGCTGAGTGACTCACCCTACCTGTTACTTCCCCCTCTCCGAACCCAGGGTTTCAACCTGTGCCCCTCTGAGTGTTCCTTTCACACTGTGCCGCGCCAGCCAAGAGGCTAAGTGGGACCTGGGGCAGCGCCTTTTCTGCCCTCCAATGTAAGGGGGCCATTGCCTCTTAAGGGGAGGAAGGTGGGAGGTTCTTGGGATCCTCTGCCCTCCATGGACCCCAATTATCTACAGATGGCCTGGAGGCAGGGCTGGGCCAGCGCTCAGATGGGAACGCTGAGGCTACAGGCTGACTCATTAATGAGTTTTTGCCACTGGCAGACCCTGTCATGGTGGTCCGTGGCTCCTGCCCAAGCTCTGACCAGAAGAGCACAGTTAGGCAGCTCCAGGACTCTGTCTCTCCATCCTCAGGGGGTTGCGGACTCTGATTCTGCCCATCCCACCTCCCCTGGATGCTACCAGTCACCAAGACCTCCTGCAACTACCCAGGGGCTTGTCCAGGGCAAGTAGATCGTTTATTTCCACTGCACATTTTTATCCCAAGTGATTTCATGTTCCCCTGACCAATTTCTACAGTCAGATTGGGGTGGGGGTGGGGCTCAAAGAACAATTTGAGTTTCTCATTGAGTGAAGCCTGGGAACACAGGGGCAAGTATCTCTTTTAAAAAATCCTCCCTGCATAGCAGGTCACCCTGGCCTGCAGCCACAACACCCCGGGCTGTGATCTCACCACGTTCCAGGAAGCCAAACAGGGTCAGGCTTGGCTAGTCCCTGAGCGGGAGACCTCCCAAGCAAAACACAGGTGTTGCTGGTGATTCAGCAGGCCAGTCCCTCCCTCCCGAGTCTAGGGCTTCTCAGGTGTTTGAGTTGAGGCTGGGATGATTCTGTGAGATCCTATCAGTCCCTGGGCAGAGGAAGGGGGCGTGGTGCCTCCAGAGGTGCTAAATGCTCTCCCTCTCTGCCACTGCCACCACCACGTGTTACAAGTGTCGACACCGTTCTAAAGAATCAGGGTGTGCTTCCTCCCTCCCCATCCCCTGCCCACTTCCTAAGGCTGCCTCGACATCGACCTAAATTCCTTGGGCTGGTTCAAACAGATAAGAGCTGGAGGAGGAAAAGGCACCCTCTGAGGGTCCTGGGGCTCAGGGACCAACTGGCCCCTGCCCCTACCCCAAACAGCTGGGGGGTGTGGCTCAGCCCCCAGGATGGTCCCTTCTGGGTTGGGAACAGGTGAGGATGAAAGGGGTCCATTAAATGAGAGTGGTCATTAGCCTGTTTTATGAGCACACGGATATTCATTACATCCCAACCCCATCATTAGAGGCTGCAGGGAGAGCTCAGGCCCTTTCTTTATTGCAGTAGAAACTGGGGTGTTTCTCCCCCAAAGGGAGTTCTGCTTCTCTTCTTGGGGAGGGGGGGCTGCCCAGAAGGTCAGTAGCCCCTAGGTCTGACTCTCACTCCCTTTCCTGCTCCTCCACCCCCAATCCTTCCTTCCTTCCCCAGGAGCCAAGCAGCCCAAGGGGAGGGTCAGGCAGCTCAAGGAGGAGATGATAAGGGCCTGGGGCTTCTTGGGAATGAGGAGGCCCTGAAAGAGCCCAGGGCCAGGTAGCTGGAGTCTGGGAATAGGGGCCTTTCCATCCCAGCACATAGCTCTCCCTCCCCTTCCCCTGCCTAGCACCACTCTTCTCAAGTAGAGAGCCTATTCATGCCTCCTCCAGGAAGCCCTCCCTGCTCCCCAGATGAGGCCCTACGTAAGAATTCTTCTTAGAATTCATCACACCTGTAATCACCTCTTTACTCTCATGTCCCCACCCATACATGGCACAGTGCTTGGCACTTAGCAGGAACTCAATAAATGTGAGTTGTGCTGAAAGTAGCCAGGAGCCAGGGCAGGTGAACTGGGATAAAAAAGAGGGGCTCTCTCCTAGCCCCAGTTGTTCTCTCTCTCTGCCTTTTCCCACAGTGTGAATGATTTGATGGTCTGGCTGCTTTCTCAAGGCCATCGTCAGCCAGTAACTGGAAAGCAAACTACCTGCCATGTCTAGCCAGCGGTTCTCAACTTGTGGGTAGCGACCCCTTTTGGCGGTCGAACGACCCTTTCACAGGGGTCACCTAAGACCATCCTGCATATCAGATATTTACATTACGATTCATAACAGTAGCAACATTACAGATATGAAGTAGCAGCGAAAATAATTTTATGGTTGGGTCACAACATGAGGAACTGTATTTAAAGGACCAGAAGGTTGAGAACCACTGGTAGACAGTGCCCCCACTTACCTCTAAACTTGATCCCTTCACGCAAATCTCATCGAGCAGCCAGTTGGATCTCTCCTTACAATGGCCCTTCCTGTCAGTCACCCAGTGACAGTCAAGTGAGTGGGGGCAAGCCCACTCCTCTAAAGCCAGCCCCTCATGCATGACAGGCCACCGGCTCAGGAGGCAGAGGAGGGGCGGGGCATGCCCTCTTCCCCATCAGGGCTGGAGGCCTCAGTAGTGATAGTTTGGAGCTCACTCCGCTGGTGCAGGCCATGGAGGCTGAATGAAGCGTGGGCAGACCCCACAGAGAGGAGCAGGACTGCCGAGCTGGCAGATTAATCAGCTGTCGTTTGCATTCATTAAAGGCCCCTTGCTTGTGTACTGCAGCCCAGGACGCCAGGGTAATTCACTGCTCACAACAAAAAGTTCTGGGAAGAAGTCTGTATCACCTCCCTGGGCCATAGCCTGGGGATGGGCCTGGCAGCCTCGAACCCCAGACCCCTCGGGTGGAAGGCCCCTGAGGGCCAGCCCCATGGGTGAGGACTGAAGGAGGCAAGCTGAGTCCCGGACCCAGAAGTCTGGGGAGTCAGCAACTGTGGAGCCATGGGCCCTTGACCCCTTTGGGCTTCTTCCCTGCTGTCACCCTGTCCCCTTTCCTCCCATCTCCTCATGGCCCTGGGCACTGTCACCTGGAATTTCTGGGCCCTCCTCAAGGTTGTGCAAAACTCATTTCAACACACTCTTGAGCTGATGATTCCGTGGGGCTGGAAGCCAAGCGTTGCTACTATCCCCAGCCCAGCTCCTCACCTGCCAGGAGGAAGGCGGGCGCCAGCTCCCGGGACAGCCAGGGCCCTCGGCTCACGAACCTTCCCATTGGCCTACGGGGCTCAGTGGAGTGGCCCTTAACACCTCTGTTCAGGGGCAGCCTAGTGACCCAGGTTCAGCTGCCTTGCCAGAGCGGGCTAGGCCCCTTCCTCTTCCTGGGGTTATGTCAGTCCCCAAGCATCCCAGAGATAGATGGGACCGACTGTGAGGTCAGGGTGGAGTTTATTGAGCTCAGTCTCGGTTGTTTTTTCATTGTAATTGCCAAGCTCCCCAGGTTGGCATTTGCCTGGCGGGCACTGTAAAAGGTGACACAACAGAATGAGAGCACGCCCTGGTTCCACTGACGTCTGTGTGGCCCTGGACCCGGCAGGCTGCTGGTGGGCCACATTCACTGTTCTCCTGGCCCAGGCCAATGAGCTTGGCTTGACACAGGCAGGCAGGGGCATGAAGATCCACCGTGCGGCCCTAGCACGGCCAAGGACCGTGAGTGCAGCCTGGCAGCTCGTCAGGATGGCAGCTGTGCTGAGGCATCTCTGAGGAGAGAAAACTGAACATGTCACTTGGCTGCAGGTCTCCTGCCGGGACCAGGACCCTAAAGCAGACCCTGGCCCACAAACCTAGGCCACCTCACACACCCGCCTCTGGTCCGCAGGGTACACGAAAGAGCCGTTCTCTCTTGCCTCCTCCTTTCCCGCGGTCCCTAACTCCTGGGGAAGAGCCATTTCCCTCCTCAAATAGGGCTGGAAGTGCAGAGCATGATCGGGAGAAGGGAGCACCAGTGGGTGTGTCAGCTCAAAATCCTTGATCCTCAATCTTTCTTCCAGAAAGTCTCTCTCTCTCCCTGGAGCACTATCAGCAGTGCACCCAGCTGTGGCCACACAGGTCCCCCAGGGGAGCAGCTGCCTTGCACAACTCCAGAGACTCAGAGGCTCAGACAGGGAGTAATGCCAAGAGTCACTGAGCTGGGGGTGCTTTCGCAGCTCTAAGAAGGGGTGCAGGGCAGAGGATGTGCACACCAGCCCTGGTGTCTCCTGGTCTTGGCCGAGCCCCAACCCCTCCCGTCTACCCACCTCCTCTGACCAGGAGCCTGACCCTTCGAATAATCTGTGTTGGGAGCTGGAGCACCTCAGGACCTAAATGTCAGCCAGGTCCTGCCCCAGGAAGGGTGATGCCAAGGGTCCTTCCGAGCCTGGAAGAGACCTGAAAGGGGACATGGTCAGGGACAACGCTTAGATGGGCCCACCGCTGCTGCACGACAGGTCTAATGAGGAGCCACCTGCCCAATCTGGACACCTGGGGCCAGAGAGCAGGACTGCGGGGCAGTGCGTCTCAGACCTTCAGGTGCCTGGCTGAAAGGAAGAATCTGGTTCACTAGGCCAGGGGTGGAGCCCTAGGTTCTGCATTTCTACAGAGCTCCCAGGCGCTGCTGCTCTGAGTAACAAGGGGCTGGGGCTCTAGGACCAAGGTCACGCTCAGTCCCTCTGAAAAGAGCAAGTTGTGGCCGGAATGAGATTTTGACTGTTTCTCCTTATTGTCGCACTGTCTAAGGACCACTGGGTTTCACCGAGCCTCCAGATCTTGCCAGCATCTTTTCTAGCTCAAAATTCTTGATCCCCAACCTTTCTTCCAAAAAGTCTCTCCCGAAAAAAACAACCCTGTAGGTTGCTTAGTGTAAAAAAAACAAAAAACAAAAACAAAAAAAAAACAAACACAAAAAGTCTCTCTCTCTCTCTCTCTCTCTCTCTCTCTTTCTCTCTCCCCTTCCTTCCTTCCTTCCTTCCTTCCTTCCTTCCTTCCTTCTTTCTTCCTTTTCACAAGGCAGCCCCAGGCCTGGGCGTTTTGGTAGGGAAGGAGAAAGGAGGTCCGAAAGTATGGATTATGCTTTATCTCCTCACTAAAGTCGTGTATGGGCACCTAACTAGGATGAAGGAGGGAGACACAGCAGAGAAGAGAGCCAGGGCCTGGCTCCCACCACTACTGCCAGCTTCCCCCAAGGAGGCATGGGGGGCGAGGGCTCCCCCTCCCTACTCCCTTCTCCCTCCCCGAGTCTTTGTGGCCTGGGTCCCCCAGGACTACCCTCATGTTAGATGGTGCACAGGAGGGCAGAGCAGCCCAGAGACAGTGGCCCATTTCCTGGTTGGCAGTAGAGGGCAGGGTGGGGCAGGGTGGGAGGCTGAGGGGAGCCTCTTAGGCACAAAGAGAGGAGATAGAAAGATTAGTAGGGCAGAAGGCAGAGGACACTGCTGAGCCAGGTGCTCTGAGAAGCAGTCAGTGGAGGTGTCCCTACTCC